ATCGACACTCCCACTCAACTTGGTGTCATCTGCAAACTTACTGAGGGTGGACCCCATCCCCTTGTCCACATCGTATATAAATATGTTAAACAGAACTGGCGCCAAAACTGAGCCCTGGGGAACACCACTCATGACCGGCCACTGGCTGGATTTAACTCCATTCACCACCACTCTTTGGGCCCGACCATCCAGCCAATTTTTTACCCAGCTGAACTGGGGTAAAATGAACATATTTCTATAGCCTACCTATAACCTCTCTAAAAGACAGACTTATATCAGATCTTAAGCATTAAGTTCTAATGTCATAAATATGAAGATATCACTGTTTTCAAAACCCTTTAAAAGAATTGCCTGACTTCAAGACACAGGAAAACAGATAGATTATTGTTTCATAGAAAGAGAAACAGACCTAAAGCCACACAATGTTGTAAAGAAGGATATGTCTAGTGCTTACTGACAGCATCTTAACTGCTATTTTCCTGTAACTATGTAGCTGGCATTCAATTCTTTACCATTTTTCCAGAATTTGAATCCTTTATGCTACCTAAACTACAGCTATTTTTAGTGATTATCAGATTTGAGGACTACAAATCTCTGTAGTTATTGCACCTTCTTCTTCCTGCATATAATCTCTCAATTAAAACAAATGTGTCCCCAAAGAACTCTGAAGAAGAGGCTGCATTAACAAACTGTTTAAGTGAACCAGAAGCAAGCCAACCCCTCATGAATACAGAGTCTGTAATTAGCCAAAATGCTCCATTTTGCTGTTCACAGTGAGGCTGAGGCTCAATAAAAATGCAGGCAAGGCATTCCCATGAGGCTCACATATATTAATACATTACTACTAACCAGTTGCTTCACAGCAAAGAAACTGGGACACAGCTTGAAATTGGCTGGCTGCCTATTTGACAAAATGGCAAGCTATTGGTGACAAGTATTTTCTCTTATTTTCATATCCTTAGTGTCATAAACAGGCTAAGTAAGTACTTAAGTGTGGCTCCTAACAGTCACGTGCTCATAATGGTGTCAAACAGATAAAATTCAAGTTCTGACCGACCAGAGAACAACACTTCATAGATTCTGCATGGAGTCATGGTTACATCTTTGGATCACCCCAAACCAATTATCCCTAGCACTGGCTTTCCCAAAACTTCTAAGGATGAAGTCATCAGCTTCTTAAAAGCATAACTGAAATTAGTTCTTAGCCTGATTAGGATGCAGTCAGCAATCCACACTTCAGTGATGACCTTTTAAGCAAAAATGCAGAATAATTTGGGTGCCTCCATTACTACTCTGCTGAAGGCAATTTATAGAAACTTAAACACATAGAATAAAATAGTTTGGAATTATGATTATTTCACTTCAGTGGGACAGAGTCAGGAGAAGAATGTTTATGAAAACCCTTATTCAAGCTACAGAGGAGTAACCCATGAATATATCACTCCTACAGTTTATCAGCTCCCCCAAATCCCTCAGAAACTGAGGCACTCAGCTTCTCTTTTGTGTCAAGTTAAAATAAGGATTACATCAACTTTTCTACTCAGCCAACTAAAAACCTTAAACTTTAAGTATGTAGCTAATAAAATGTTTAGTTTATCAAATAGTAAGCCACTGTTCAAAAAAAAGGGTATTTCTAAAGCCAGTACTACAACACTATTACCAGCTGACAGGGTTATAAAAGCACCTCAAGCTGCAACTGCAAAACAATTCACCACCTTCAAAAAGCATGTTCCAGAATTAATGGGCTGATGTTCTGAAGTTTCAGTTCTTATCCAGAAATCCTCTATTATGTTAACCTTTTATAATTTGCCTTACTCTGTCCTTACAAGGTCATCATGACTTCCACTTCTGCAGTAGAATGCAGCCTTTCATCAATGGAGTGCAAGGATCATTTCAAAGTGCAAATGAATGCACATTGCCACTTGATGACTTTAATTGTCATAAACTTCACAAATTCTAGGCTAGTTTATGCTCACCTTTCGCAGGAGGAAGCAAATACGCTCAATATTTCTCAGCCGCTCTCTCTGTCAAGAAGAAATAGAGAAAAGGTAGGTTAGCTGGTGCTATAAATTAAAGACAACATACTACAATTACAGTGGGTCAAGATCATAATAAATGGCTGTAGGGAAGCAACACGTTATTAATCCGAAACAACAGTATTCACTTCTTACCTACTGCTTGCAAGGTAAATTATTTAGCCATTTCAAAGTCCCATTAAGTCATTATTTCACCTGTTACTGGGTGTAACAATATAAACTGGGGATTCAAGTCTGTGTCAGCCTTCAGCCAGAGGCTGCAGCTTCTTTTTAAGTCAGCATTCGTGGCTCTATCCAATGGTGCTAATCTATACCACAGAGCGTTTTCAGGTACCCAGCCTCTGGCTTCAAGGTAATTCTGAATGGGAAAAACAACTATGAAGTTGGTATGGTAGCCCTTCCTCTATCACCATGAGGGTGCCTGAGCAGTATGTGATATTCGAATTTAATTCAGTAGTGAAGAATACCTGACATGTCCTAGAAATGTTGCTATAAACAAGAGACAGAATCACAGAATCACAGAATGGTCGGGGTTGGAAGGGACCTCTGTGGGTCATCTAGTCCAACCCCCCTGCCTA